ACTATCTTAAATTTAATTCCAAGTGTAAGACTAATAACTAGAGCTCCAGCCCACAAAACGTCGCCGTTTTTCTAGTTTTTATTTAATCAACTGATATATGTTCTCATAGCTATGTACAACATATTTGCAAGGTATCAAGGTTATTTTTTTTTTGATTTAATTTTTTGTAAAGGACATTTTCTTTTTTTTGTGTTTGGGATTTGTCCAGATTTTGCCAGTGAGTATACGGACTTGTGGTTATTTTATGACTAAGACATTCATCCAAAGGCTCTTCACAAAATCCGTGACATTTGTTGGAAAAATGTGATAAAATATATCGATCGGGGCAGATGGTTTATCATAGACTTTGATGATGCGTGTCATACTATATCACCTATTTCTGGCACGCACCCGAGATTTTCCAAGGCAATCACTATAAGAGCATTGATATATGTTCCGTTGGAAACCTTATTTTGACGGCTTCTGTGAAATTCGTGAATTTGATGAATTAAAAGTTTGTGCAAGGAAGTTAACAGCAAAGAACGAATTTGATAAACAAACTTTATGGGCACAAACCAATAACACGAGATTAATGTAAAACCCGGATAATATTAATAAAGTTAATAGTAAATTTTTGATCAATTTGTCCACTTTAAAAACCTTGATTTTGTTTATTTTAAGCCTTGTACCTTAAATTTACCTATATAAATTAATTAAATAAATCAAAAATACAAAATAAACAAATCAACGTTTTAAAATGCATATAACTCTTAGCTTTATTAGTATTATCCGAGGTCCTATTAATGTACTAACATGATCATACAACTATCTTAGAAACGAGCAAAACCATATAATTTATTATGATATTTAGTTAGCCAAAATTAATTTTATATTTACCAAATCAATTATTATAAATCGCACCAGTGGTGTTGAACACCATATAATTTTTTATTATAATTTTGTTGTCAATACTTAAGATTAGGGTTAAAATTTAGAAGCTATAAACTAAAAATTAAGGCTAAAAATAAAATTGAGGTAAGGTTTTTTTATATGCTAAACATTTTTACTTAATACATCCGGCCTTAGTTATTTATACAGTTTTTTTAGATATAGCAACTGTGTTGTTAAACACCACTGTCTGCTGTCCCGTGACAACACTGCCCGTAAGCCTAGTAATCATACATAACAGATAACACGTTGGGGTGCGCGGTATACTATGTAAAATAGGAGTCAGGTAAACTCTGAAAACCTCGTGTAACCTAAACTTTGGATCATTATATGAGAGCTGCACAGGGAAAACCTGTAAGTAAAATTTAATTCGTTAAAATATTGTACGATTTTGACCAATAAAATTTCAATATCAGGCTGATCTTGAAATTTGATTAGTCAAAATCGTACAATATCTTAACGAATAAAATTTTACTTACAGGTTTTCCCTGTGCAGCTCTCATATATAACCACTTTTTTGTCTCAAACTTAGGGTACCTGGCATAACAAAAATTTAACGTGCCATATGGCATGCCAACTATTTAA